TTGGAAAATCATTTTTGGGGCAGGTTAAAAATTTAATAAGCTTTTGTTTCCCCCAAATTTTGTGGGGTCTCTCATAAAAAAAATTTAATTTTTATCTTCGACTCTCGTCTGGTTTTTTGGGTTTCCCCCAAAAAAGAGTCATATTGGGACTTGAGTAGCTCACTCATTTTCCCTTTCTGTCATCTGTGTAGGACCCAAACTTTTTAAGTTTAAAGGGGCCCCAAAACTGGCGGTTTTCCCTTCCTTTAAACCCCGGAACTAACCTTGTCGCCAAAACCCATGCACTTTTCTGTTTTTGACTGTTTTTTTTAAGTGCGGGTTCCAAACAGGTCTGCCCTACTCCCGTATGGGCCTGAAAGTACACGGTTTTTACAGTGTCTTTTAACGATTTTTTTATCAAGGGATCGGAACTCTGTTCTCAGGTTTTTCCCGGGCCCATTGCTGCAGCATTTTCCTGGTTGATGTGTTTCTTCCGGAGACAAGCTCGGTGTGGGGTGTGGTGTGTGTGTACTCCCCTTTTTGTTCACCTATTTTTGTTTTCAGGGGTCGAGGAAAGCTCCCGGCCCCCCCCCCCTTTTAATGACTGATTTTAAAGGGCCTCTCTCTCCCGCTCCATGACTTTAGCATACCTCGCCTTAAAACAAAGTATGGTTCCCGCCTCCACTACTTCACTTTCTAGGCTATTTCACGGCTTGACTACTCTATGACTGAATAAATACTTCCTAACATCCCTTTGATTCATCTGAGTCTTCAACTTCCAATTGTGACCTCTTGTGTCTGTGTCCCATCTCTGGAACATCCCGTCTTTGTCCACCTCGTCTATTCTGCACAGTATTTTTATATGTCGTTATCATGTCTCCCCTGACCCTCCTGGCCTCCAGTGTCGTCAGGCCGATTTCCCTCAACCTTTCTTCGTAGGACAATTCCCGTAGCTCTGGGACTAGTCTTGTTGCAAACCTTTGCACTTTCTCTAATTTCTTGACGTGCTTGACTAGGTGTGGATTCCAAACTGGTGCTGCATACTCCAGTATGGGCCTGACGTAAATGGTATACAGTCTTGAACGAATCCTTACTGAGGTATCGGAACGCTATCTGTAGGTTTGCCAGGCGCCCGTATGCTGCAGCAGTTATCTGATTGATGTGCGCCTCAGGAGATATGCTCGGTGTTATACTCACCCCCAGATCTTTTTCCTTGAGTGAGGTTTGCAGACTTTGGCCATCTAAACTATATTGTGTCTGCGGTCTTCTTTGCCCTTTCCCAATCTTCATGACTTTGCATTTGGCAGGGTTAAACTCAAGGAGCCAGTTGCTGGAGCAGGCTTGTAGCCTGTCCAGGTCTCTTTGTAGTCCTGCCTGATCCTCATCCGATTTGATTCTTCTCATTAACTTCACATCATCAGCAAACAAGGACACTTCTGAGTCTATCCCTTCCGTTATGTCATTCACATATACCAAGAACAGCACAGGTCCTAGGACTGACCCCAGTGGAACCCCGCTTGTCACAGGCGCCCACTCTGACACCTCATCATGTACCATGACTCGTTGTTGCCTCCCTGTCAGGTATTCTCTGATCCATTGCAGTGCCTTTCCTGTTATGTGTGCCTGATCCTCTAGCTTTTGCAGTAACCTCTTGTGAGGAACTGTGTCGAAGGCCTTCTTGCAGTCCAAAAAAATGCAGTCGGTCCACCCCTCTCTCTCTTTTCTTACTTCTGTCACCTTGTCATAAAACTCTAGTAGGTTTGTGACATAGGATTTTCCCTCCCTGAAACCATGCTGGTTGTCAATTATACACTTGTTTCTTTCCAGGTGCTCCACCACTCTCCTCCTGATGATCTTCTCCATGACCTTGCATACTATACACGTTAGTGATACAGGTCTGTAGTTTAGTGCCTCATGTCTGTCTCCCTTTTTAAAAATTGGGACTACATTTGTCATCTTCCATACCTCGGGGAGTTGCCCAGTATCAAATGATGTGTTGAAGATCTTTGTTAATGGTACACACAATATGTCTGCTCCCTCTTTAAGGACCCATGGAGAGATGTTGTCTGGTCCCACCGCCTTTGAGGTGTCAAGTTCGCATAGCAGCTTCTTCACCTCCTCCTTGGTTATATGTACCTCATCCAGCACTTGCTGGTGCACCCCCCTGCTCTGATTTCCTGGAGTCCTACTGGTTTCCGTTTTAAATACTTCTTTAAATCTCGTGTTGAGCTCCTGACATACCTCCCGGTCGTTTCTTGTGAATTCCCCATCACCCTTCCTCAGTCTGATTACCTGGTCCTTGACTGTTGTTTTCCTCCTGATGTGGCTGTACAACAGCTTCGGGTCAATCTTGACTTTCGATGCTATGTCATTTTCGTATTGCCGCTGAGCCTCCCTTCTTCTCTGTGCATATTCGTTTCTGGCTCTTCGGCTAATCTCTTTTTTTTCCCTGAGTTCTCTGTCTTCTGTACTTTTTCCATTCTTTTGTACACCTAGTTTTTTCCTCCTACCCCTTTTGGGGTTTTGAACCAAGGACTCGTTCTGTTTTCCCATTATTTCCGTTTCCCTTGGGAACAAACCCTATCTCTGCCTCCTTGCTTTTTGTTGTGACATAGTCCATCTTTCCCTTGTACGGGGTTTTCTTGTCAGTTCCCTCTCCACTGAATGTCTTGAAAGAAGTTTCCTCAACCCTGAGTAGTTCCCCTTTTGTATTTTGGGTTTTTTTCCCACCCTATTTCCTGCTGCTCTTTCCACTTGGAGCCCAACTATGTAGTCGAAGCACGAACCTCATGATCACTAGCTCCCAGGGGCCTTTCATACATGATACCCTCGATGTCAGAATATCAAGGTAAATAAAAGGTCCAGTCTTGTGGTTCATCCTGTCCTCTCTCCTGGTAGTGTCTCAAAACATGTTGATGCATGAGGTTTTCCAGTACCACATCCATCATCTTGGCTCTCCATGTTTCGGGACCCCATGGGGCTCCAGGTTTTCCCAGTAAATCTCCTTGTGATTGAAATCCCCCATAACTAGTAACTTTGCTCCTCCCATGTGTGCTCTCCTGGCCACCTCGGCTAGTGTGTCGACCATTGCTCTTTTGGGCTCTCATCGTATTCTTTCTTGGTCTCCTGCAGTTCTGTGGTGGGTTGTACATTACTGAAATTATCACCTTTGCCCCTCAGACTGGATTGTTCTACTAAGTAGTCCCTTTCGCCCGTGCCATCCATTTCTTCCATTTTCTCAAAACCCCATGGTTTTTAATGAGCAGTGCAATCCTCCTCCCCTCTCCCTCCTCTGTCTTCCTGAGGATTTGATATCCGGATGGAAAGATTGAATCTGTTATTATTCTGGTGAGTTTTTGTTTTCTGTGATTTGCTATTATGTCTGGGGATGTCTCTTGATTCTTTCGTGAAATCCTCATATTATTTGTTTTTCCCATCTGCATTTGTATACCACCCCTTTTCAACTTCTTTTCTAAGATTGTGGTGTGTGTGTGTGTGTGTTTGTGTGTGTGTGTGTGTGTGTGTACTCACCTATTTGTGGTTGCAGGGGTTTCGAGTCCTAGCTCCTTGGTGTGTGTGTGTGTGTGTGTGTGTGTGTTGTGTGTGTGTGTGTGTGTGTGTGTGTGTATGTGTGTGTATGTGTGTGTGTACAAAACAACCACTGTGAAAAAATAGTGAAAATCCATGCGTTTTCGTGATTTCTCACATAATCAATGAGATATAAAATTACACCCTTCAGAATAAGATGTGGGTGGGAAGTGTCAAGGACCTGTCATGCATAGCTTAAATTCTTTCCAAATTTTATTAATTATAAATGAATCTAATTTGAATAACCTTAAACTATTATTCATATTTAAATCAATACTATTTTTTATGAAGCTTGATTCAATATTTCTCTCAACCATAGACTTGCTTAATAAAGTTTTCTTGGCCTTTTGAAAACCAGTTTGTGTTTGAAATCTTTCACGTGTCCACCTCTAGTGTAATATTTATGTTATTATAATCTTAGTTCAAAGCTTCTTCCAGTTTGATTGTAATAAAATTTATTACATTTTGTACAAGGAATCTTGTTGATACAACTATCAGGATTTTATGGAAAATATTTAGTCAGATGTTTTTATTACTGTATCAAGACATTTAAATACAACTTCAGCTTTAAAATTCATAAGTCAAGAAGGTATGTCAAGAAGGTTTTCATGATATACTTGGAGTATACTTGGAGAGAGTTTCGGGGGTCAACGCCCCCTCAGCCCGGTCTGAGAACCAATATATTCTTAGTTGAATATGGTTGATTGTCCTTTAAAAAGGATTTATCAATTAAATATTTTTAGCTATATCATAAAGTTTCAAGATTTCTTCATCTATGAACTCTGAACGGCAAATACGCAAAGTTTTTAAGAACATGGATGAGAATACAGAAAGTTTAGATCCATTATGAGGCGAAAAATAACAGTGCACATAAGAACACTTATTTGTTAGTTTTCTGTATATATGGATTTTGAAATCGTGGCTCCCCTTAATTATTAAGATATCAAAAAAAGGCAATGAATTATTTTGTTCAAACTCAATGGTAAAATTTATTGGATGAGCTAGGCTATTAAATTCAACCAAAAAAATGGTTTATATTTATATTCCTAGGCATAAAACATCAGCATATCTGTATCACTTAGCTCTACTGGGAAGGATACTCTTAAGAAGTCGTTTCAAAATATTCCATGTACAAATTCCTAAGGACAGGTAAGAGAGGATTTCCCATTACCATACCAAACTTCTGAGTGTAAAACTCGTCTTTAAATACAAACTTTTTCCAAAGCAATACAAACTTTAATGAGCTCAATGACTGTAGGTACTGGCAATGGTAAATCATAATTACCAATAGGAATGGTAAATAGTTATTACATATAGGAAACTTAACAAGTCATCAAGTGGAACTTTTGTGTTTATATATATATATATATATATATATATATATATATATATATATATATATATATATATATATATATATATATATATATATATATATATATATATAGTATTGTACAGAATCAAGAGCTAAGACTTAGAAATTTCTGCTATTATAGTAAATTTATATTTAGAATATTTATTTACTGGTATACGTTTATTGGTAACATAATCCAGCTGTGTTAATTCATTATCTGCTGAATCTGAATTAGTAGATCCTAATGAAACTCGTTGGAATTATTTGTTGAAAATCTGTTCACAACTCTACGTTCATGTTCAATGATAAATCTTACGATCAGGTTGATGGTGCTGTAATGTCTTCCTCTTGGACTCACTCTTACTAATACTTTCCTCTGTTTTCATGAAGCAACTTGCTTTGATAATTGTTCCGTTGTATTTAAACTTGTTTTGAGCAGATGTTAAACTGACGACACGTTTTATCTCTTCAAGTTTTAAGATCATCTTATGATGCTTTTAGATTTTCTAGATTTACAACAATGAAAAAATCAAATTACTGGATATATTAGTTACAAATAATGTATGTGTAACCCCTAATTTAACTTTTTTTTCTAGAAGAAATTTGTATATTATTTTTCATATCATGACTTGTGAATGCCTCTTCTGATTCCCTTAAAATTATCGACGTTAATATTTAATGGCATTATCAACTTGCGCCTCACTCTGCACTGTTCCACTCGCATACACTGAGACAACAGAGACTGGGGTTATGTGACATGGGAATATTTTACTGGGATCGGGTAGCGACGGAAATACAATAAGTTGTTAATTTTTTCAATGAAAGTGGGAAATCATTGATACCGATAACATCAATTAGGCGAGCTTATCTTTTGCCTGTATATTCGTAAATATTTTTTTTATGATCAGTAACACCATCTTCTTAACGACGAAAAAGGTGATGATAACAGCCAAGAAGAGGAGTAACAAAACATCCAGCATCAAGTATTCTACCCAGGAGAGGTTGGCACCTGGAGTCTTGAGGTGAGGTGCTCCTCCGTGACGGATCACATATTCCGTCCAATACACTGCACGTTCTTTTGGTGTCGTAATCTGGTCCCTCAAAGAGGCTGAAATCTCCTGTACGTTCCTCTTGTATCTTGAAAGTTTAAATTGGTATATATAATTGTGAAATCATATTCATGCATTCACAGTACACAAACACACACACACACTGATATATATTATATATATATATTATATATATATATATATATATATATATTATATATATATATATATATATATATATATATATATAAACATTGTCTCTACGTCCACAACAGGACTCGAACCTGCAAACTCTGTATCAGAGTCCACAGTACTTTACCACGGAGCCAGTGGTTTGGCTCCGTGGAAGAGGGTAGGCAAGTTTCAGTGGGGAGAAGTAAATGGGATTATGTCAGGAGTATCTGAGAGAGTTAGAACTGAGGAAAGAGTAGCAATAATGTTGAAGGATCAGTTATGGAAGAAGAAGAGGGAATATACATACGTAAATTCAACGATTATTTGGGTTAATATAAGGGTCGGATGCGAAAAGTGGGTCATAATAAGCGTGTATGCACCTGGAGAGGAGAGGAGTGTAGAGGAGAGAGAGAGATTTTGGGAGATGTTAAGCGAATGTATAGGAGCCTTTGAACCAAGTGAGAGAGTAATTGTGGGATGGGACCTAAATGCTTAAGTAGGAGAAACATTTAGAGAGGGTGTGGAAGGTAAGTTTGGGGTGCCAGGTGTAAATGATAATGGGGGGCCTTTGATTGAACTTTGGTATAGAAAGGGGTTTAGTTATACGTAATACATATTTTAAGAAAAAGAGGATAAATAAGTATACGAGATATGATGTAGGGCATAATGACAGTTTGCTGGGCTACGTATTGGTAGATAAAAGACTGTTCAGTAGACTTTAGGATGTACATGTTTACAGAGGGGCCACAGATATATCAGATCACATTTTAGTTGTAGGTACAGTCAGAATAAAAGGTAGATGGCATACAAGGAAAATGGAAGCAGCAAGTAAGAGAGAGGTGAAGGTTTATAAACTGAAGTTAGGGTAAGATATAAACAACTATTGGAGGATAGATGGCCTAGTGAGAGTATAGGCAATGGGGTCGAAGATATATGGGGTAGATTTAAGAATGTAGTGTTAGAGTGTTCAGCAGAAGCTTACAGTTACAGGAAAATGGGTGTGGGAGGGAAGAAGAGCAATTGGAAGAGTGATGATGCAAAGAGAGTAGTAAGGGAGAAAAAGTTAGCATATGAGAGGCTTTTACAAAGTACAAGTGATGCAAGGAGGGAAAAGTATATGGAGAGAAAAAGAGAGGTTAAGAAAGTGGTAAAGGAATGTAAAAAGAGAAGAAATGAGAGTGGGTGAGATGTTATCAACAAATTTTGTTGAAAATAAGAAAAAAAATTGGAGTGAGATTAATAAGTTGGGGAAGCCTAGAGAACAAATGGGTTAGTTAAAAATAGGAGAGGAGAGTTATTAAATGGAGAGTTAGAGGTATCGGGAAGATGGAGGGAAGATTTTGAGGAATTGTTAAATGTTGATGAAGAGAGGGAAGCTGTGATTTCTTGTAGGAGTGAGGAAGAGCCAGTTGTGAGTGTAGGGAAAGTTTGTGAGACAGTGGATAGAATGAAAGGGGGTAAGGGATTGATGGGATGAAGATAGAAATGTTAAAAGCAGGTGGGGATATAGTTTTGGAGTGGATGGTGGTATTGTTTAATAAATGTACGGAAGAGGGTAAGGTACCTAGGGATTGGCAGAGAGCGTGCATAGTCCCTTTGTATAAAGGCAATGGGACAAAAGAGAGTGCAAGAATTATAGGGTAATGAGTCTGTTGAGTATATCTGGTAGAGTGTATGGTAGAGTAATTATTGAACGACGGAGAGTAGGATAGCAGATGAACAAGAAGGCTTTAGCAAAGGTAGGGAGTGTGTAGACCAAGTGTTTACAGTGAAACATATTGGTGAAGAGTAAGGGTAAAGAGGTTTTAGTGGCATATGACAGGGTGGATAGGGGGGCAATGTGGCAGATGTTGCAGGTGTATGGTATAAGAGGTAGGTTACTGAAAGCAGTGAAGAGTTTTTACGAGGATAGTGAGGCTCTGGTTAGATTATGTATGAGATAGGAAGATTATTTCCCAATAAAAATAGGCCTTAGACAAGGATGTGTGATGTCACCGTGGTTGTTCAATATATTTATAGATGGGGATGTAAAAGAAGTGAATGGGAGGGTGTTGGCAAGAGGTGTGGAATTAAAAGATAAAGAATCAAACACAAAGAGGGAGTTGTCACAGTTGCTCTTTGCTGATGATGATGTGTTTTTGGGAGATTCTGAAGAAAAGTTGCAGAGGTTGGTGGATGAATTTGGTAGGGTATGCAAAAGAAGAAAATTAAAAGTGAATATAGGAAAGAGTAAGGTGATGAAAATAACAAAAAGATTAGATGACGAAAGATTGCATATCAGATTGGAGGGAGTGAGTATGGAGGAGGTGAATGTATTCAGATATTTAGGAGTGGACGTGTCAGCAGATGGGTCTATGAAGGATGAGGTGAGTCATAGAAATGATGAGGGGAATAGGGTGAGTGGTGCAGTGAAGAGTCTGTGGAGACAAAGAATTTTGTCTGTGGAAGCAAAGATGGGAATATATGAGTATAGTTATACCAACAATTTTATATGGGTGTGAAGCACAGGTGATGAATGTTGCAAGGAGAAGACTGGAGGCAGTGGAGATGTCATGTCTGAGGGCAATGTGTGGTGTGAATATAATGAAGAATTCCTAGTTTGGAAATTAGAAGAAAGTGTGGGATTACCAAAACTATTATCCAGATGGCTGAGGAGGGGTTGTTGAGGTGGTTCGGACATGTATAGAGAATGGAATGAAACAGAATGACTTCGAGAGTGTATAAATCTGTAGTGGAGGGAAGGCGAGGTAGGGGTCGGCCTAAGAAAGGGGGTAAAGGAGGTTTTATGTGCTAGGAGCTTGAACTTCCAGCAATCATGCGTGAGCGTATTTGATAGGAGTGAATGGAGACAAATGGTTTTTAATACTTGATGTGCTGTTGGAGTGTGAACAAAGTAACATTTATGAAGAGATTCAGGGAAACCGGCAGGACGGACTTGAGTCCTGGAGATGGGAAGTACAGTGCCTGCACTCTGAAGGAGGGGTGTTAATGTTGCAGTTTTATAACTGTAGTGTAAAGCACCCTTCTGGCAAGACAGTGATGGAGTGAATGATAATAAAAAAATTTCTTTTTCGGGCCACCCTGCCTTGGTGGGAATCGGCCGATGTGTTAATGCATGCAGGGGATGAGATAAGGAGCTGTAAGCCACCTGCCTAGAAGGTGGCAGCCTAAGATCAAAATGTCTAGCGTGAGCTGGACGCCAAGGTATTGGTAAACAGTGCGTACCTTGTTCCAAGGTTCGTAGATTTGAGTGTCCTTTGGCCAGAGATCAGTGTTTGTGAACATATGTATATATATATATATATATATATATATATATATATATATATATATATATATATATATATATATATATATATATATATATATATATATATATTATATATATATAATATTATTTTATTATCACACTGGCCGATTCCCACCAAGGCAGGGTGGCTCGAAAAAGAAAAACTTTCACCATCATTCACTCCATCACTGTCTTGCCAGAAGGGTGCTTTACACTACAGTTTTTAAACTGCAACATTAACACCCCTCCTTCAGAGTGCAGACACTGTACTTCCCATCTCCAGGACTCAAGTCCGGCCTGCCGGTTTCCCTGAACCCCTTCATAAATGTTACTTTGCTCACACTCCAACAGCACGTCAAATATTAAAAACCATTTGTCTCCATTCACTCCTATCAAACACCCTCACGCATGCCTGCTGGAAGTCCAAGCCCCTCGCACACAAAACCTCCTTTACCCCCTCCCTCTAACCTTTCCTAGGCCGACCCCTACCCCACCTTCCTTCCACTACAGACGGATACACTCTTGAAGTCATTCTGTTTCGCTCCATTCTCTCTACATGTCCGAACC